TCTTTCCCTTCAGTATTTCCTATTGTTCTTTCTGTTTGAGACTTGACTTTTTTTGCACAGGAGAGTGCAGATTGCTTATGCATCTCTGCTAGCTGTTTGTTAAACTGCTTCAAAGTTACATTATTCTTTCTCTTTCATATACACTATTTCTTGATGTTTCATCTCTAGCATTGCCAGATGTATTTTCTAGGCCACTGATTTGATGAATATTGTTACTGTTATTTGTAGAAGTCACTCTTCGCTTCCTTCCCTTAGGAGTGCATCAGCTCCTTAATATACACTGTCCTGTATGGCATTTGTTACTTGACAAAGTACACTAAGTTACATACAACATTTATAGATCATTATTAGGATTGCAAATACCAAACAGCTTTGGTTCCCAGCTCTGCTTCTTTGTAATGGAACTTGGACCTGTGGCTCAAAAGTACTGGTTTATCTTCAATTCTTATGCCCTTGTATTTTGTGCAATTGTTGGTATTAAGAAGTTAAAGAAATCCAGAATTTTAAATTTAAGATTGTTGGATGTTGAGAATTTCTGAAAATCTGATTACTGAAGTAACGGGATTTGGATTCAAGAGTTAACATTTAGAAGTCTACTTCTTAAAAAATTGGCTCTTCAATTGGCCCTCAATCATTAGTACATGTGAAGTCAGCATTTCTGTAATGTAGTTTATTTCTGAACACATTTCCATTTGAATACAGACACATTAGAAATGTAAGTCATAGACTCCTAACTAACGTTCATGAGAATGTTATAATGTTATAAACGTTATAAAGTACAATAATGATATTGTACTGTATGTTCTGGCATCCTCCAGAGTCCCTTCTGGCTCCACACCACTTCATGCTGAGAATGGTACAATTTGTATCATACACGCTGCAAAATCATGGCTTGATTGTGACTTTTTATTGCCGTTATTCCTCGATATACCTGACTTATTTTCTTTGTGGTAAGGGTGGGAAAATCAATTCAGATAAAATTGTGTGGACAACAGTTAAGGCAAGTAAGCTGTTCTGTTATGAGTCCACATTCATTCATCCCTTGCTCAGATTTGGAGGTCTTGAACAAGGTGTCTGCTGTGTGGTTTTTATTTTCTGTTTATTTTTCAAGGTGGAGGATTTAAAATGCATATTTCATTTGTGCAGGACCTTCAGATGTGTTAAAAGGCTGGTCAGATGATCTGAGGAGATCATTGGGGGTGTACAAGGAAAGCAGTTAGGAAGTTGGAGATAATGGAAATTACCGTTTTTCACATTGATGAATTTGGCAATTGGTGTATAGCAATGACGGAGACCAAGGGAGAATTTGGGAACAAATGAGAATTTACTGTCATTATCATGAAAACCTTACTTAAGTGGAACAAATTGTCCACCCTTGGGAGTGTTCTGCTCCATGAGGGATACTGCTAATAAAATAACTCAAACCCATCTAATATCCAATGATAACTTTATGGATTCCATGCTGTGCAGAGAGCCAAGGCTCATAGTGAAAGGCAAGAACTAAAAAGGCAGAGTTTACACTTACTTGAGATTAATTTCTTTAGCATAGCTTTTATTTAGTGTCAACATTAGCTTTTTTGTGTCAAACAGTTCATACATGTAACAGAATTAAGAACAGGACTGTGAAAGGTGAAGATGACACAAAGTCTTTTCAGGAAAAAAGCTATGAGTTTTTTGGAAAATTGGAATGAAAATGAGCCCTGCTGTTAAAATTAGCCTAATAAAAGTCACCTGGGAAAAGTGCAAAATATTTTCTGTTTTCTCCAGAAGTCTTTTAAATGTGCAGCTGTGGAAGGGGTTTAGCTACCTGTGAATATCCAGGATGAAATACAGACTTTGAGATCCACGGACACTCAAGTATTTGGAGGAGTCATTTTACTGATAACTTTCTCAAAAGGTGCCAGTTCGTGGAAGGGATTTATAATTTGATTCAGAATACAGTATAGATCACTGAACTTTGCTGAGATTCCTGGGACCTCAGTAACTTCTCTGATAGGCAGGAGATCACTGATTTCCTGCAAACTAGAGTATGTCATGGAGGTAGCTATTTCAAGATGATGGCACTTACAGCAGTGCCTCCAGAATCTGGCATTTGGTTGAGTTTTTTAAATCTGCCCCTTGTTCTTTATTCTCCCTCTCCTAAGAGGATTTTCTTTGTCAGTGTTTTGTCTTTTTAAATAACCAGAAAATTCCTTCTAAAAAATGCATTTAAGAAACAATTCAGCATGCAGAAACACAAAAGTAATATTAAGCACAGAAATGTGCCTTTGTCCTTTTGTGCAAACGCTTTGAAATGTAGCCTTCAGTTTCATAGAAACGTACTATTATCCAGAGCAACATAATACACATTTTGCCAAAACATTAAAGATACATGGGCATGTATTCTGTGAAAGTCGTTTAGCACGGAAGTATGTATAGACGCACTACAAATATAGATTTCACAGTAATTATACAATAGACAATAGGACTTAGAATTTCTTGTGTATGTATGAGTGTGAAGTGCTAGGGGGAAAAAAAAGCTCTACAGGGACCAAAGCTTGCTGTTAAAAAACCCAAACTTGTTAAATAAGTCTGCAGAAGCAGACCCCTGATAAACATTTATTCAACTACTGTGAACATTAACTACTCTAAGTAATCCATAGAAATTGTTAAAAATTATCAAGCAAGTTGTCATAACTGAAAAAACTCCTACATCTAGTATTTGAAAAACATGTCATCAAGTACCATATTTTAATATATGTATTCTACATAGGGATAGATTTAATACAGCATATTCAGTCCTACCTTAGCATTTCATAAATTCTGAATTCTTATCCAAGCAGCTTCAAAGATTCTTCTATGTTACTTGCATGCCTAGATGGTAGAAAGAAAGGAAGAGTGATAACCTAAAAGACTTCAGCCAGACTTTCATCAAAGCTCTATTTCTATTCTTATCTTTAGAGTTTATAATCTTTTCAGACAAGCTAGATGCTGCTACCAGGGAAATAACAAACTCCATTCCCAATAGTAATAAAATACAGTATGTTGTGGATGGCTGCTCTTGCAGAGGGTGTTAGTGATAATAAATTTCTCTCATGAGAAACAGTGCCTTTTATGTTTTCATTTTCAGGTGACAACACAGTCCTGTGCTGTTTGGGCACATATTAAAAGTAAGTCAATTTTTCCTTCAATCAGAAAACAGAAATTGTCATGGCTTTGCTTGGCAGCATAAACTAATAATTACTGTGGCTGTTTCTTCATTTGCCATTGATGGTTGGTTGACTTTGAGGATTGGAAAGGTTAGTGACAAAAAATTTTCCTTGCACTTCAGTATTCCATCTTAATGGATTCGGTATTACGTTCTAAAATGGATTCTCTGTTTTCTCCCTGGTTTTCACTATTACTCTTTCTATCCATCACATGCAAATCTTTACAGCAATTTTTGTGCACAAAGGATTTGAAGCAAGGAAGACGTGAAATTCTAGAAGCCTGTTTTAAGATAGTTCTATATTTGCTAAAAGTTTTTAGTTTTTTTCCTAAAAAACACTTTCTAGCTTTTAGAAGCCACATTATTTATTTTGATGTGTTCAGGTCGTTCTTGGAGAATTAAGTCCTTTTATGAACTTAGGAAAATAAAAGACACCATGCAAAATGAAAAATATGGCTAATTTTTGTACTTGTAAGTACGGTTTCTTTAAAGTATAATGGTATAACTTTAAAAGCCAGTGAATTTCTAAGCATGGTTTTATCTTTTTGGCTATAAAATGTTTCCAGTGAATGAGTTTACCTCAGAGAAGTTTGGAATCCACTAGAGAATAAGTTTCCCTCCTTGTCACTATGGTAGAAAGTACTCTCTTCAGCCATTTCATTATGTTTCAGCAAAAAGCAAACATTCACCTCTCCTGACAAATGAAGCTGATGTCCTCTACAAATTCTCAATTCTGCTTTTGAGTTGAAGGACTCATGAATTGGAGTTAGGAAATGCAGTGACACTGGAGTGTGACACAGTACTTTGGAATGATAATAAATCATATGGTGCATGGAGTGCTTGAGGTGCATCTGTTCACAAAACCCACGTCTGACTATTGCTATTACTGATGTTCTGGTGACAGCTGTGTGTTTGTTTCTAGGTTGCCTTTTGTTGTTTACTCTCACAACCTAGTTCATTTACCACTGCACTTAGAATATAATTTAGGCAGTTGTGGTTGAGGAGACTTGGCTGAGATCATGGATTCCCTAGGTTTGAGGGCTCTGTTGCTAGAGCTGTATAGGCAAGAGCTGTAAAATAACTCTTGAAAGAAAATTGTCCTCTTCTGAATTTGTAATTTATCAGCTTATAGAGCATCATCAGAGGTTGTCTTATGTAAAGGTGGATTTTAGTTTTGGGATGAAAAGAGTGGGCATTGGAAGATGGGAATAGGACAGGTCTGGCCTTTGGCTTTCTGTTTTAAATCCATGTGCCTTTATATTGAATGGACTTCTAGCCAGATGGTGTCTTTGGCCTAAGGTACTTCTGCAGCTGGAGACAATGAGAATATTTTTTGCTCCCTGAATCCTTTGAGGAGTATTTCTTAATTCAACTAGTGTGGAAGGCAAATCTGTAAATTAAATCTCAACCAAATGGGCCTGTTTCAGATGCCATCTAGACAAAGCTACACATTGTATGATAAATCATTGTCATAAAAAGTAGTAGAAAGCTGTTAGAAGCATACTTCCTTCTGTCACATACAAGTAAAATGAATTTTGAGGGTTTTTCACCAAATACACTCTGCAGCATGTAGGGAGGACAATTCTGTTGTTTTTATGGAGGGCTGACATCTGCTCTAGAGATGCATAACTTGCTTTTGGAAACTGGTGTTACAGTGATGTAGGGACAGGTATAACATTTACCAAAACTGAACATGCTTGTAGGTTGGACAGATTTTCCTTGCATGGTCCCTGTCTGAAATTCTTTATTTTGCCAGACTCACAGTAAGTTTACAGGTGAGAGGTGCTGCACAGATAGAAGCCTTGCTTCACTGAGCCGTGTTAGGCAAAGTCAGTAAACTGGTCAGGTTCTCCTTATGGCTCTGTATGATTTTTTTTTTTTTGTGCTTCAGATCAATTGTTGAGTGTGTTTCAGGTGAGCACCCAGTCAGTTTTGTGCCTGTGCATTCAGATGAGCCAAAAAAGAGTTCAATTTAAGTAACAGAAGTTGTTTTTTCTGATGTTCAGGCACTCGGATTCTCATTATGGACATATACAGTAGTTTCACTGAAGTGAGTGCCATTTTTGCAAGAATTTAAATTTTTGCTAAAACATGAAATACTTATGCTTGCAAGATTTAACAGCAAATAGAGTTTTGGAATCTTGCAGGAAAAAGATGCAGCATCCTAGAAATCCAGTAAGAAATAACCTTTGACTAATACTGAAAATGGGATAGAGGTGGCTGGAAGGGATTGAGTTTCTATTTCCTCAGGTTACCTTCACCAGTAGTCCTTAGTAATTCTTGTTTTGACAGCAAATCACTGTAAGCCTTTTGTTCTTTGCCTGGGTGGCGTCTGGTATTACGGGCTCGGGTAATGCTGTCATTGCCAGGTTTATTTCTGTTCTGTCACTTGGAAAAAAAAAAAAGTAATAAAAGAATGGGGAAGCGAAAGCATGCCCAGATTGTAGAAATTTTGAAGAGACGCATTGAGCCATGTAGTAAAGCACTAGGATTATCTGGCACCAGACACCACCTTGGCATATGATTTAAACTGAAATTGCCAGTGAAGAAAGAAAAAGGCAGGAAACAGAGGGATGGAGAAGTATAATCACTTCTGAGACATATATCATTTAATCTTACTTCCTCAACTGGATGGTAACTACTAGATAGTCAGCTCCATTACTACCTGACTGAGTAGTAGGTCCAGCATCTGACTTTTGTTACAGTTCTTTAACTGAGCAGGCTCAGTTGGTCAGTCACCAGACTGAACCTATGCTATTTGGTGTTTATTTATTTGAATTGTTTGATATTTTCTTTTAGGCTTACCACCCACTCTGCAGTACATGACTGCTGTTGGATTCGGGTCAGTTGCTGCAGTCTGTCTTGTATTGTTCCTCTCGTTCTCAGCAGCACGGTATGTATTGCTATTAACTCCAGTTTTGTAGTTCTCCTGCAGAAGGCTTATGTGTTTTTGTTTTCAGATAATTTTTCTTGCCAACCTGCTTGGTTTAGGCCTCTTGGGTGTTTAGAGACTATTATCAAGAGTTCCTTCAGTGGTCACTAACACTCTCCATTGCTTGAACTGATGCCTGCTCTATCTTTGCAATCATTGGCGTAACATGTGAAAAGTATGGGGCTCATCTTAATAAAGGAAGGATTCAGACAATGAGTAGCAACAGGAATTTAGTTGAGAGGTGTTTTGATTTAGTCGTAACTAAATAAATGTTTATATGCTGTGCCACTCTAAAAGTGAAGTCATACACACAGAAATGTTGATGTTATTTTCCTATGCAAGGAGCCAATTTCTACTCTTCCCAACTCTATTCAAGAGGCCTAAAAGGATTGTTTTTCAGTAGTGGTTGATCTTTAGCTAAAGGCCATGATAAAAACATGTAAGACATTTTTAAGAAAATTATTTTGTTCTGTTTCGTGATCCTTCAGGGGGCAGTAAGTTTATAATTGTCTTCCTTTCAAAGGTAAAATAAATATGTGCCTTTAAGTAACTTTGAATGTCTATATATGTGTCAAATCTCTTGACCAAAAAATACCTCTTTGTTGTTGTTTTAATATGTTTATATCTAAGAATAGTCTTCTGACTTGGGTTCCTTCAGAAGTCAGGAGCCTCCAGTTTGGGGGCTGTGAGGTATAGAGTGTTGATTGATTAAGTTGCTTATTTGGCATTCAGAAATAGAAGGAGCCAGTCTTATACAGGGCTGGAGAAAGTAGGGTTATTTGGGTTATTTGTAGTTGTCTAGATTTCAAATCAGTTCTTACAATCTAAATTCCAAAATAAAGGTTCCACAGGGTCTTCATTTTCCTTAAGTAATTAAAGAAAGGGATCTCAGAATTCCCTTGGCAATAGGATGCAGTGATAAACTTTAGCTTGCAGGGTTGATTGGTTGTTTTTTTTCAAAAACATTGTCAGAGTGAGCTTTGGCATTTGAGGTAGAAGGGGCTATAACTGTCTTGGTGTCTAAACTAGCATTCCTGGCAGAGGGTTTATTGCAGGAGGAGGGACTGTCATGGTGTGAAAGGCTTCTCAGTTATTTCACTTTCTCTGGCGAAAATGTGTCAGAGGGATATAAATACTTCGTAAAACTATGTCAAATCAATTAGCATCACAGTGATAGGAGAGCTATTTAAGTTAATAGACAGTACCGGAAGAATCACATCTAAGTATGAACCAGTTGTGAATGAATGTAGAGAAGATTAGGTCCTGAACTTCCATTTCAGTCTTCTTTAAAAAGAAGTGAGAGCAAAAAAACCCCAGGTGTGCTCCCTCCTTAGGGAGCTGAGTACATTGAGTACATCTGACAGGCGTCATGCTGTAATGTGGTGTAATGTTGGGGGCCAGGACTTGATAATTCAGCAAGTATCTTTTAGGCCTTTGATCCCACATACAGAGAAATTCTTGAATCCATGCTTCTGTTTTAGAGAACATCAGAATACTTGGCAGAAATTAAAGCTTCCCCATCCCAGTAGGAGGAAGAGAAGGGAAAACCCAGGTGTCACTTGTGACAAGATCCTTCACAGTGCTCTCGAAGTAGCTGTAATATTCATAAATAACAAATACTCTTTTCATTTTAAATAAGCATGAGTTTAATGCATTTCTGAGTAAGAATGTAATTTGAAAATTACATTTTCAGGGCCTTCAGCCCTGTCCAGTTGTAAAGCCATGGTCCTGTTTTAGGCACTGTACTTCAAGAAAGATGTGGCCCATCACGAGAAAGAGACAGAGGAACTCGACAAGAGAGACATGAGATCTGTTGATCCAACTGCGAATAGGGTAATCTACTCGTAGGTTGCTTAGCCTGGCAAAGAAGAGACTGCCAAAAAGCATTATATACAAATATATGAAAAGCCACTATAGAAAGACAACTTCCTCCTGTCCAGGGTGCTCATGGTACATGTACCATCCATGGACAGTATACCCATGTGCTTCTGAGCGGTAGGAGAGGGAGGCATGGGAACAGATCGCTGCAAATGCTGTGAAACCATGGCTTCTGGGTGGTCTGCAAGAGCAGGTTAACAAACATTTGTCAGTAATGACACAGCTACAGCTGATCTTGCCATGATGTCAGGTGAATGGTCTTGGATTGTTTCTTGGGATCCCTGTAAGCTTTCCTGTTGTGCGGTGTCTGTCACAAAGAACCACTGTATTCAAGTGCTCACCAGCTTGCCACATGTCCGCTGCCTCAGGGATTATTTTACCTCAGTGGGACAGATTGTGAATTCCCAGTAGTGTGGTTGCTGACATGTTTTAACTATTCCTCAGCGAGTAAAAGTCTGGCACTGGATTCACAAAATGCACAGCCTGATTGTTGATGTCCTTAAATATTATTAATTTCTTTCATTTAAAAAATTCGTTAGCCCATGAATTGGCTAATGTTGTTGTTGCTGTTAAGGTGCTTTGTCGCACATTCACCTTGCTTCATTCCTCCTAATCTTTTGCTTCCTTTTATATGTGATGCCCACTCAGATGCATAAGGATGGTGCCAAAACTTCAGCTTTCTGAAGATCTGCATTGGGCATGAGTGTTGTCGATGCCAGAGTTAATGTTGGTCAGGTAGTCATCAGGCCCTATGGGAATGCTTCCTACCCATCTCACGCTGGCTATAATACTCAGACTTTATACCAGCACCTTAGGTCTTAAAAAAACTTTAGAAGCTCTGTCATTTATCCCATCAATATGTGTGATGCAAATTCTCTGTCAGGTCCATGCTTGAGTCTTGGAACTGTTTTTAAGTGTGGGGTTTTTTTTAACTGGAATTTTTTCTCTTTCTCCAGCTCTTATCTCCAGAGCACAGTGTACTCCCCGCCTGCTGCTTTAGCCTGTGAGGCTGTACATTTATCTGCTACGATGGACGTGGCACAAACAGGGATTACATCATCATTCCTAGAGACTGAAAATGTCTCTCTTCTCTGATGTGTTAACCCCTGAAGTCAGCATAGAGAAAATGCACTCTTCTTACCAAAGCCAGCATCTGTCGTATATAGATGTATCTGCACGGCACATATGTACTATAGCATGGGCCTTTGAAATGTGTTTACTATTGGAAGTGAGGTGTTTATTGTCTCCCCTTGTTTCCAGATGGTGTGGTATGTAAAGGAGAACCTTACCTTACAAACAGGTTTGTGTCAGAGACATTAGCATGTGTCCAGTGTGTTGGCCACAGCCTTTCAGCGATTCCAGCCACATCAACGCCTGATAATGAGTGTCTGTGTTGTACTTTATTACATGAATAATCCCCGATACAGTTGACACTGGGGATCAACTGCTACTTTAGATACCTTAGGAAACAGAAAGTGGCCCATTATGAGAGAAAATACAGATCAACTCTTAGATATAAGTGCCTGTTGTATTTCCAAGTGTAAAGGTAGATTTCTATCAGTCACGAGTAATAGTACTTCAACAACAAGTACAGAGTTGTTAGCCATGAAATTGTCACATTTAAATAGTGTCAGCAACAGATGTGTTCCAGAGATACTGCAATCATTGCTCATAGCAATTAGCAATAATTACAAATAATACACCAATCTATAAAACTGCAGTTTGCCAACAAGCTGAGTAGCTTTAATGGCATGTGAAACTAATTTAAATAAGGAGCTACCTGTGTTAAGTGCAGTTTTGTTAATCTCTGTTCTAATTACAGCTGAGTAAAGCCATTAAACCATTGTCTGGTTAATGAGCCGATATGTAACATCTGGTTAGAGTCACTTAATAAAGTACAATTAACCAATTTCCTATGGCATACTCCCAGTTAATATTTTTTCCTTCTGTAAGAAAGAATCAAATGCCTTTGATTACTTCCACTCCTGTTCAGAAGTTGCTTTTAGATATATTAGGAAAGTCATTCTGTTAAATGGTGAAATAAAGAAGTTTTGGGTTTTACTCAGTTTTGTTGTTTTTTCTAGGTTATGTTTTGTGTTTTATCACTTTGAATGTATGAGACCTCTTTTTTTTGAATGCTAAATATT